TTTGTTTGAGAAAAGTCGATTTATGTTTTGAAATTCAATGAAATTGAAGAATAAAAAAAATTCAGTTTTTGTCCATTATTATTAAAAATAAAAGTTCTACAGAAAAATTTCAAAGACAAAAAAGTTGGGCATTTTTATGCTCTATACGGTAGTATGTTTTAAAATTAAAAATTCCGACTTTTATTTTTTTCCATTTTCTGCCGGCTTGACTGGCTTGAATTTTTCAGTTCAAGCGCAGATCGAGTTATTGGACGCGGGAGCTCAATTGTTTACGTAACAATTCAATTTTTTTCAAAATAATTTTAATAAAATTCTTCGCAGAAATCGAATTATGTTTAAAAATTTACAAAAATTCTTGTCAAAATTTCAATTATCTTTATAAATAATAAAGTTTTTCACCGAAATTCAATTATTTTAAAAATAATTTTAATAAAATTCTTGGCAGAATTTCAATTATTTTCATAATTTATAAAATTCTTCGCTGGAATTCAATTATTTTTAAGAATTTTAAACGGCTTAGTCCCGTTTACTTCTTAAATAAATAAATAAATTTTAATAAATTTCTTCTCAAAAATTTTATTTTTTCGAAAAATTTCAATAAAATTCTTACCAAAATTTCAATTATTTTTATAATATTAATAACATTTCTCAACAGAATTCAATTGTTTATAAAATTTATAATAAAATTCCTAAAAAAGAATTAAAATATTTTTTTAAAAATTCAATAAAATTCTTCTCAGAAATTCAAAATTTTTTTATTAAATTCTTTAGGAGAATTAAAAATTTTTAATACGATTTTAATTAATTTCCTAGAAAAAATTCAATTATTTTCGAAAATTTTATTCAAATTCTTCGCATAAATAAAATTATTTTCTGAATTTATACAATTCTGTCACAGGAATTTAATTATTTAAATGAATTTTAATAAAATTCTTCTCAGAAAATCAATTATTTTGATATTTTGTTTATGAGAATTGAACTATTTTCGTAATTAATAAAATTCTTCGCAGGAATTTAATTATTTTAATGAATTTTAATAAAATTCTTCGCAAGAATTTTATTATTTTAAAAAATTTTGCAATAAAATTTTTTATAAAAAAATGAAATTAACTATTTAAAAAAAAATTTATTTTTTCGCAAAAAATTCAATTATTTTGAAAAATTTAGATAAATTTTTTTATAATAAGAATTCAATTAGTTCAAAATTTCTTGATAAAATTTTTTATGAATATTGAATTTTATGAAACATTCAATAGTTTAATAAAATATTTATTTTTATATTTAATTATTTAAATTCTCGTAGAATTTTCTAATAAATATTGATTTAAAAATGAATTTCAAATTAAAATCTTTGAATATTTGAACTTTTCAAACTTTTTAATATTAGAATTTTATAGAATTAATTTTTCTCAATAAGTTTAATGGAATTTTTTTTAATTATTTGAAGTTTTTAATTTCTAATATAGGGTAGAGGGCCCCAAGGTGACACGGGCCCTAAAGTGTTTACCCTAGGGAAATTCTTGTTGAAGAATTTTAGTTGAAAATTCTAGAAGTGAATAATTGTAATGATGAAAATAATTTTTTAAAATGTTATAGTAACAAAGTAGCAAGTTTTATATAATAATATTCTTATATGTTATTGAATTTCAAAGTTTTGTGAATCTTAATTTGTATTAAAAAAAATAATGATTAAATATTTATTTAAAAATGAAGTTATTGACGTTTTCGAATAATTTTCGATTTACAAACCTGAAAAAATTCCGTTTTTAACCTGGAAAAGTCAGGGAATTTGAAAAGAGCAAAAGCGTGGCAACCCTGGAAGATTAAAGTATGGTGTAATCCAATATTTCTATATAATTTTTTTAAAGATATGAATAAATAGATTTGCTTATTTCCGAATTCAGCGCCTTTTGGGAATACAAAAATGACGCCATTTTGACTTTTTGAGTTGTAATAAGTTGATTTTCGTTGATTACTTAGAATTTTGAGCAGAGCTCGGTGTTGGTTAACGTAAAATGTCCCAATTAAATAGGACAAAAGCACCAGTACTTGGACATTTTTAAAATATTAGTAGCAAATTTAGCTACGATTTTTACAAAGATAATATAGTTTACTTGACAGTCTAATTTTTATTTTAATTAAATTTAAATCTAAAAAATAAATAATTTCTTCTTTACCTTGATAGTTGGTCATGACATTTTATAGGGTGTCCAGTAGTTTAACATGATAAGGACCAATAGTTGGACATATCAGGAAATTCTCTCTAAAATTGAATTAGTAAAAATGTTTACTAATTTGAATTAGTGACTGACTTTTTGCTTTTGAATTAGTAAATTTTACTAATAAATAGTCATTTCTACTAATTAATTAGGAAAATTTACTAATTTAAAAGCAAAAAGTCAGTCACTAATTTAAATTAATAAACATTTTTACTAATTCAAATTTGGAGAGTACGCATAATATTTATTTGCATGAAATGTTTGTATTTTATATTAATTTATTGTCAACTTTTTAATTTACTAGTAAGTCATTTTATATTAATTAATTCATTATTTAAATAAATTAATGTCTGTAAAGATTTTGTCCAACTACTGGTGCTGCTGTTGCTCAAGGTTAAAAAGCAGAAGGTAAATTTGGACACTCGAGTTTTGGTAAATTTTTGGCTTAGAAATTAAAAACTTGAATTATATCCATAAGCTAACATTCAAAAAAGGTATATAGGCTGATTCTATGCATGTAGGGCGAATAGGTTAAAAATTCTAAATCAAGTTAAAGGTAATTTTTCTTCTTCTTTAGGACAAATAAAGAGACACGTATTTTTTTATTTAGCGAAAAAATTTTTTTAGAGCTAAACAGCTGACAAATTATTTTCAAATCTTTCTAGTTTTTGCAAAAATAAATATTTTTCAATTTTTTTTCTTGATTTTAGTAGTGTTTGTGATACTTTTTCTTTCCAAACTTGAAAATTTGAAAAATTTTGAAAATTAACAAAATGGCGGCCATTTTCCAAAAAATCAAAAAAGTCAATTTTCTCAAAAACATCATTTTTTATTTTTCTTAAAATTTTTGTGTGATTACTACTAATGGCGCATCTAATGTCCCGGAATTTTTTCTGTGTAGTAATCACACAAAAATTTTAAGAAAAATAAAAAATGATGTTTTTGAGAAAATTGACTTTTTTGATTTTTTGGAAAATGGCCGCCATTTTGTTAATTTTCAAAATTTTTCAAATTTTCAAGTTTGCAAAGAAAAAGTATCACAAACACTACTAAAATCAAGAAAAAAATTTATTTTTGCAAAAACTAGAAAGATTTGAAAATAATTTGTCAGCTGTTTAGCTCTAAAAATTTTTTTTTCGCTAAATAAAAAAATACGTGTCTCTTTATTTATCCTAAAAAACAAGAAAAATTACCTTTAACTTGATTTAGAATTTTTAACCTATTCGCCCTTGCATGAATTGAGATAGAATCAGCCTATATTATTTTTTTCATTTACATTGAAAGCATTTTAAATTATTTTTGTTACTGTCCATCTATTGGTTCCATTTTTTGCAATGTTCAAGTACTGGTGCTTTTACCTAGTTATTCTTAAAAATTTTTGAATTGCAATGTTTATTAATTTTGTTTATTAATAGATTTCTAAAACAAATTTATAAAGAGTTGAATAGTTTTCTAGATAACGTAAACTTTGTGGAAGAAGCATGGGTTTAAAGCTAATCTCATGCCACACTTATTAAGATGCATTTGTACAGAGATTTATAATGCAGAACATAATCACATCGGATTGTAGAGGTATGATATTACTACTTGAAAATCTACAACCAACTTTGAGTTTTCTTTAGAATAAGTAATTCCATTTATATTCATAATATATACTTGCAGGTTAATTTCTTAAAATCCGTTAACAAGGGCAATATAAATAATGATTCTATTTATACTTTTCGTTATATTGATGAGAATTTTGTACGTCATATTTAAAAATGGATTCTGCACTGCAAGATCTCGGAAAGCACCAGTAAAAACAATTATTTTTCTGGGATCTGGAGGACATACAACTGAGATTTTGCGGATTGTCAAAAATTTAAATTTCGATCTGTATACTCCAAGGATTTATATTCATGCGCAAACTGATAATCTTAGTGCGAAAAAAATCAAAGAACTTGAAAGTGATAACAAAGATTTTGAATTAATTCCTACATTTCGCTGTCGAGAAGTTGGTCAATCTTATATTTCTTCAATTTGGAGCACTGTTTATGCATCACTACATTGTTTTCCAATCGCGTGGACAAAAAATCCAGACCTTGTTTTATGCAATGGACCCGGTACTTGTGTGCCGTTATGTGCTATTCTGTTTCTTTTAAAATTATGTTTCATTTCTAATGTAAAAATAATTTTCATTGAAAGTTTTTGCAGAGTCCGTTCACTTTCATTAAGCGGCAAACTTTTGTATCTTATTGTAGATTTATTTGTCATTCAATGGCGTCATTTAAGCAAATCTTTGTTACCTTCTATCTTTCAAAAGAAGACTGTATATATTTGATTAAATAATTTTTCTAAGCTGCATTGTTTTATTTAATCACTTTTTCAAATTTATGTTTGTTTAAAATATCTTTTAATTTATTGGGAAATCGAAAAACACTTGAAGTTAGGATTAGCTCGAAAAAAGTTGAGACAACATGAACAAATTTTCTCAATAATAGTTACTTATAAGGAGAAATCCACAGAACCGATCGATTTCATGTTATTGACAAATCTTTTAATTTTTAAAGTATGCTATTAATTATTTTCATATTTTTACTACTTTAGAAAACCTCTAAGAAGCTATTGGACTAAGAAAATTAAATAAATTTTAGCCTATTTCGTGTAATAGGCATTTAAAGCAAGCGAGTAACTTACCACTATAAACAATTTTAGTAACAATTCGAATAGGGCTGATGCAATTTTTAATTAATAAGTGCTGAATTGTTCCACGGTATTATTCCTTATTTCTTTTTTTCTTAGTGCTTTGTGTCGTGATTTATCAACCTGAAACCCGTAAACTGGCTGTGAAGTGGGACTGCACAGGAATTGAGAGAAATTCAAATAACTGAAGGTAAGATCGTAATTCTTTGTTCTAGATTACTTGTTTTCTTTTCTTCTTTTAGTTTAACTCAAATATATTGGGCAAAATTTTTGAAGTGTGATAATGAGAACGGATATTTTTCCCAAAATTCAGCAGATTCGTTTGAAATGTAAAATATTTGTCAAAAATGTAATCACAGTCATTTTTCATGAAAAATCTCATGGTTTTTCTAAATTCGTCTTCAAAATTAATGAAAAAAAAACTTTTTTAAGTTTCTTTCATTTCGAAACAATATTAATGCTGCCATCTCTATGGAACTGTCACGTACTATTACGCATAGTTGAGCCAAAAATTATAAATAATTAATAAAAATAGTTATAAAAAATTATTCGTATTCAATTTAGAAATGTTATAGATGATTCTTGGTATTGTAACAATCGACATTCACTTTGTGCAGTTGTTACAATTAAATAATAGATATAGAGCTAAATCACCTATAATCTATATAAACAGAAAGTCTGACCTTTATCCTATAAATTGTGTAAAATTCAGTGTGTTTAGAAATGTTAGTAATTAAGATTGTAAATTTATATTTAATTAACCTTTGGATTTTAAATTTCTGCGCCGTTACCTGTGCGCCATCTGGTGGTAAATTGTAGAGTTGTATGCTATATTTTTTTTGTTTGCGTGAGTGTGATAAGGCCTAAGCACAACTGCTTCGCGAATGTCGTTTGCGAACGCAAAGTATGAGTTAGAAAAGAACAGAGATATATTTGTGTCCTTTTCTATCTCATGCATCTTGTTCGCGAACGACCTTGGTTAACCAAATTGTGCGTTAAACTTTAGAAGCGACGCGACGCCACAGCATTGTATCACCAGTTCTTAACAATAAAGTTTTTTTTTAAAGTGCTACAACGAAAATCTAAAAGGTATGATTCTCCTTTTCTCATTCAAATAATTATAACACAGAGAATTGGGACCATTGATCGATTTTAAGAAATGAATCCTTAAAGTACTCCATTAGGCCAGTCGTCGAATGCCTCATAGTTTGCTCTCGATTTCCGGTTGCGAAAAATGGTATAAACAATAGTCAAAGTTTGGAAAACGTGGGTTTTTGATAACAGTTGAGACCCCCGGTCTGTCAGGCTATTCCCATTTTTACGCTTTTTTTTAGTAATTTTCCAGTGGGCAAAAAACCATCATTGTTTTAAAAGCGTCTTAAAAACGTTTTTAGAACGTTTCATGTCTGCTAAATAATGTCCCAAAAACGTTATATGGTTCTAAAACGTTTTAAAAGCAATGGGACGTTTTTGGAACATTATTTTGCAGACATGAAACGTTCTAAAAACGTTTTTGGAACGTTTTTAAAACAATGATGGTTTTTTGCCCACTGGGTTATAATTTTCTAAAGACAACTGTTATAAATATTTTTTACTTTTTAACATAATAAAAAAGTCATTTCTATATTATTTTGATTCAAATTTTTTTTATTTTTACATTATGTTACAATACAAAATTTTACGAATAAAATTTTTGTAAAAAGTTGACACCTTAGGGGAGCGTGGGGGAATTGGAGCCCCTTAAGGAAAATTATTTAAAAAACCAACTTATCTTTATAATAATACATTGTTTTCGTTATTTCCTACTCATTTCGTTATTTATCTTTATAATTATGTTTAATTAGAAACTTAAAAAGAGAAAGTAAATTGGAAAAAAAAATTTAAAAAAAAAAATACATTTTTTGCAATCACCCAATTTGTGGGGTAATGGGAGCTTTCACTTGAAATTTAAAAAATTTCCATATTTTAGGAATATTTTTTGTTTTTTAATAGAAAAAAGTGTTAATACTTACAATGAAGCCAAAACTTTAGACTTAGAATAAATTTTTTCCTAAATTATAATTGAATAAAAAATTTTTGAAAAAAAATTAAATTTTTCATTTTTCCCACCAAAAATTATTTTTAAATTAAAAGTTTTTTCATAAGGTGATATCTTTTACAATTTTCAAAGAAATAACGAAAGACGCAACATAGTAACGAAAATTCTTTGGTCTGACACTAATTCTCCCATTACCCCACAGAATTTTCACAGGCCAAAATTTGAATAAAAAAATAAAAACATAAACAAATTTTACTATTATTTCGATTTTTATACAAGTATACATATCTACACATATTCACCTATAATATAATGAAAAAACAGAACTAAATAATACGATTTTAACTACTTATGGTGATGTTTAGAAATATTTGGCATTTTACAACGAAAACGCAAAAAATACATTTTCCCTTGTCTTTACTAAAAATTTGTCAAGAATGTGATCGTTTGTTTTGGAATGATATAAACAAAGGTTGTAGAAGATTTTCTATACATTGCAGCGAATTTGAAGGCTTTTAAGTGCGTGAAATTTAAAAGCTCCCATTACCCCACGCTCTCCCCTACAGGTTTTCATAGAATATGAAGCTACACTGAAATTTTCTAGTTCTTATTATACTTTGAAAAAAAGTTACAAGCAAAGAATAATTTTGTAGTGGTCTGTCAGACCGGCATAACAGTTTAAAGGTTAAGGTAGGACGGATTTTTTTTTTAATTTTTCGGAAACAAATAAAATTAAATACCGTATACACATAATCGAAAAAATGGAAATTGGCTATATGCGATTAAATGAAATTTCTATTTCAGTAGAACGAAAGTAAGTCTACGTAAGTGCAAGATCAAAGAAGAAAAAATGAAATCGGTACACGTGCAAAAGTGGCGAAATTTCGTTGAAAATGAGATGTTTTTATAGTGATGCACGTCAAGCAGAAAGCTTTCTTTTTTCGTTATCTTAACCCATTAAAGCCCACCAGGACGCAAAATGTACCATGATTTGACGACTCTTATTTTGTATGAAATAATTAGTTAAAAATTTTAGGAAATACCATTTCCGACGTAAAATTTATCGCTCTTTCGGAATATGAAGCTAAAATTTCTTTATAATTATCTCAAAAAAATTTATAACAATTTTATTGCAAAAAAACACTTTTTTTATGAAAAACAAATTTTTCAATTATTATTTTGACATGGAAAACTAAAGAATAATATGGTCTCCAAAGCACAAAATATCGCGTCCTCGAACTTTCAGCTATAAAAATCCATAATTTAATAATTAATTTTAATTAATTTTAATAATTTAATTTAATAATAATTCATTTATAAAATGGCCATTTTTCCAAAATGCAAAAGGCTGAAAAAAAATTTCGGGTAATGTTTTTCAAAAGTTATTAGATTTGCTTGAAAATGGTTACTCGGGGGTTTTTGGGGTCGCTGATTATGAATCTGATGTTACTTTTTTAAAATTCAAAATGGCGGATCCAATATGGCGGAAATATTTTTTAAAAAGTGATTGGATTTGCTTGAAAATAGTTACTCAGGGGTTTTTGGGGTCTCTGATTACGAATCTGATGTTACTTTTTCAAAATTCAAAATGGCGGACATATTTTTTAAAAAGTGATTGGATTTGCTTGAAAATAGTTACTCAGGGGTTTTTGGGGTCTCTGATTACGAATCTGATGTTACTTTTTCAAAATTCAAAATGGCGGACATATTTTTTAAAAAGTGATTGGATTTGCTTGAAAATAGTTACTCAGGGGTTTTTGGGGTCTCTGATTACGAATCTGATGTTACTTTTTTAAAATTCAAAATGGCGGATCCAATATGGCGGACATATTTTTTAAAAAGTGATTGGATTTGCTTGAAAATAGTTACTCAGGGGTTTTTGGGGTCTCTGATTACGAATCTGATGTTACTTTTTTAAAATTCAAAATGGCGGATCCAATATGGCGAACATATTTTTTAAAAAGTGATTGGATTCGCTTGAAAATAGTTACTCGGGGTTTTTTGAGGATGTTGTTTACGAATCTAATGTCACTTTTTCAAAACAATATTATGTTTATCCTCCACGTCCGTTAGCCGTCAACAAAATTTTATTGACGTTGCCCAGCTCTTACCACAAGGAGGTCGACGTGCAAAAAAGCTACTTTTTTTATTTTATTTTAAACAATTTTTTTGTTTTTTTATTTAAATGTTTTTTTTGGCTTTTTTAATATTTTTGCTTCCTCATAAAGCAGGGTGTCTACTAACCGGGAATTCCGGGAAAACCGGGAAATAACCGGGAATTTTATTTGACCGGGAAAAACCGGGAATTAGCCGGGAATTTTATACCGAACCGGGAATTTTTTCACAAAAATTAAAAAAGTTTTATTATTTTAATTTGTTTTTAAAAAATCAATTTTTATTTCAATTTTTATAGATATTTATACTGTTCTCTAAATTTAAGTTAGTTAAAAATAATTAATTTGATGATAAAAAATCAGTTACCAATTCAAATATATTATGTAAATAAATTTAAAAAAAATTATGGAGTTAATAGAAATATTGTGAAATTCGACTGAAAATATGTAATTAAATTTGTTAAAGAAATTCATTAGAAACTTTTTAACAAATAGAATTTTCAAAGTATTTTAATTTAATAATTGATTAATAATTGAATATTATAAAGAGTAAAATTCTAATGTATTCATGTTTCTTACTCCGAAGATTAATAATTAAAATTTTTATTAGTTATTTTAAAAAAATATACATACTTAAAATTGTTTAATATAATAAAATTAAACTTTCGCAAAATTTTTTTTAAGTCTAAAAAATAAAATTGTTGTAATTTTTCAATTCTATTGTTTCAAGATAATTGAATTTTTCTAAACAAATCATTGAAATTTTTTTACTTTTTTTGAAAAATAATTGAATTCTTTTAAAGAATTTTATTTAAATTTTTCGAAAATAATCAAGGGAAGTTAGTGACCATAATTATAATTTTATTTTTAAAATTTAAAGTCCCTCTTACAGTTTTAAATCAATTTTTTGCTTCTAAAAATTATACTATTCTATTAATTTTTAATAATTATAATTATTAAACTTCTCTTAAATTTTTATCATTTCAAATTTCTGAATGTTCAAATAAATGATATTTATTTATTTCTTGAGCAAATTAAATGTTTATTACATATTAAGTAAAGAATTAATTATTGCTGCTTATTATTTTCAAAAATTTTAATAAAATTCTTCACAAGAATTAAATTATTTTCATAAATAATAGCATTCTTTGGAAGGATTCAAATATTTTTATAAATAGTAAAATTCTTTGCAGAAGTTCAATTATTATCAATGTAATTTTAATAAAATTGAAAAATCCAATTTTCAATTATAATTATAAAGAGACAAGATTATTTTTAAAAACTTGAAAAAATTCTTTGTTTAATTCAAGTATTTTCCAAGTTTTTAATTAAAATTACTGAAAAAAACATTATTTTCAAAAAATTTAATGATTTATTTATGTTTGAAATCAAATTTAAATTTAAATTTGATAAGAAAAAAAACCGGGAAAAAATTAGGATATAGCCGGGAAAAACCGGGAAATAACCGGGAATTTTGTTAAACGAAAATAGTAGACACCCTGTAAAGGAAGTACTGTAATACCGAAATTTTTCAAGTTCGATTTTTTGACATATATCTTTATGTTATTTGACGTCAGGAGTTCAAAAATGACATTTTTAAAAAATGTCATTCCGTATGTGTGTGTGTGTGTGTGTGTGTGTAAACATCACATTTTCATAAATATCTCGAAATCATGAAAAGCTTTTGGATTGAATTTTTTTTAAATTGTAGATCTCACCTGCGGACATAAAATGAGACTACTTTGAGATAGATTAATAAAGTTTAACTAAATTTTTTTTGGATTTTTAATTTTGCAAAAAAACGTTTTTTGCCCATAACTTTAAAAAAATGTTAGGACACCTATAAATGTTTGTCCACAATTTTTTAGAGTTTTTTTAGACGCATCTTTTGAGCCCTAATTGAATATTTTTCGTCCATATTAACCGGAGTTATTAAA